GGCCGCCAGTGCCGCCGCGAACCCCACAGGGTCCGCTGCAGCGCCCTCCTCAAGAGCGCCGCGGCCCGCGCCCCCAAGCACTTTTGACCAGTGCTCGCCAATCTCCTCCAACGTGAAGCCGCCGCCCGCGGCAGCGCGCCCGTTTGCCTTGAGGGCGCCCCAAAAGCGCCCAGGACTACCGCGCAGGTCCCGAAGCAGGTGGTCGTTGCGGCGCGCCCGCAGGCGCCGCATCTCGCGCCGTTTCTGAGCGTTGAACGCGTTGCGCCAGCGCCGCACCTCACTGGGGTCCAGGCGCCGATGCAGCGCGTCTTGCAGGTTGAAGTGCGCGCGCTGGCAACGGCGGAACCAGGGCGCGTCGCGGCGCGCATCGCCCAGCGGCGGAGCGGCGGTTGGCGCCGGTGGGCGGCCGAACGCGGCAATCGCCGCCGCTTGCAGCGCCGACGCGACTGCCGACGCCGCCTCCGAGCCCGGCGCCTCCGCCCAGCATGGCGACGCAAGCGCCGCCTCCAACTGTGCCACAAATTCCTCGCGGCGGGCGTCGGTGTAGCGGAGGCGGGGCGCCGCCGGCTCCCCAAGGGCGGGCGGGGCCCCGCCCGCCGCCGGGTGAGCTGGTGGAGCAAGAGTGCACAGCAGCAGGTTGTGGTCAGACATTTCCTCGTGGGGCAGAATGTCAAAGGAGGTCACACGCGCGTACAGCCGAGAGTCACATACGGCATAATCGACACAGCTGCGCCCTTGGTGCCCTTCAAACGTCCAGCCATGGTTTGCGGCGTGGGTGTGCGGGGCGCGGCCATTCAGAATCACGCAAGCGGCCGGGAGGCAAAGGGTGTTGACCAACATAGAGCCAAAGGGGGTGTGTGGGGCCGTGTCAACGGTAGACCGGGAAGCGGGAGCGCCCAGCGCCGTCGCGGAGGCGACTCCGCCGGCTGCACGCTCCCGCAGGTCATCTGCATCTGCTCGGACGTCGTGCATGCGCCCAAGGCGCGCATTGAAATCCCCCATCAACATGACTTCGCCCCGTGCCTGCAGCGACAGGGTCTGGTCCCGCAGCGCTTCAAAGGCCAGCGCTGGAGTGCCCGCTGCACCCCCCCAAGCCCCGCTGCCCGCCGGCGGCATATACACGCCGCCGATAAACAAGTCACCGGCCGCGCCCGCGCCCCCACGCAGCTGGATCCAAAGACAGTGTTGCGACGTGGCAGCTCCTTTGAAGCATCTGCCTAAGAGAGAGCGATGGATGAGGGCATGGAGACCTTGCCCGCGGCCAGAACCCTGGGGGGCCCCGGCCGCTGGGCCCGGTGCGGAAAAGAGGCGGTAATCCCGGGGGAGCGTCGGGGGCGCGTGCCCCCCCTCGGCCAGAAAGATGATGTGTGCGGACAAGAGGCCGGACAGGCGTGAGAACAAGAAAGCCAGCTTGACGGGGTTGATGGCATTGACATTCCAGAAAGCGACCCGCAGCTGGTCAGGCTGGCCTCCCGGCCCCTAATTCAAGTGCAGCGGCGGCTGTCGGCTTGCAAGCGCACCAGCACATCTCCGCTGCTGCTCCGCAGTGGTCACCAATGCCCTTTTGATTGTTGCTCACAGTGATTTCTCGCACCAGCGACGTAAAGGCTCGCCCACACAGGTTGTTCTCCACGATCTCAGGGGCAGTTGGCTGCGACTTGGCTGCATTGGTGCCAACAGCGCCAACAATCCAGGTAACACAAAGCGAAATATTTTGCAATACTCAGCGTCGGCGATGGGCTGCAAAGCGATCAGGAGGGATTGTCTGTGACTACTGCTATGATGCGAGGTTGTCACAAAGATGACACGCTCGCTCAAACGTTCTTAGAATAGTGGATGTATTTTTTTACCGTATTCAGAATGTTTGATCGGTCTTGACCTTGCACGGGGGCCGTCGCCCTCGCGATCCCTTTGCGTTCCCCACCGTTCCCCTTGCGTTCCCCGAGATCGTTGCTCCAGCATGGCATGCAATCAGATATGATAGAACTTTCAAAGCAAAATCTACGCTTCAGCATCTCCCACCACCACCCGCAACAAACTTGCTGTCCCACACCGGACTGGGTGAGAGCGCATGCTCGCAAGATGCGTACCACAAGGCTGCACAGTGGGTGCAAAACACAATTATTATACTTGAGACTTAAAATCATCGGTTTAAGCTGCGTCTACGGCCCGCACAGCGGATGCTTATTGCATGTCAGCGGAAACGCGCTTAGTGTATCTGTCACGCGCAACCAGCTCCGAGTGCGCAGCCAGCTCCGAGTGAGCCGCCGCCTGCCCTTCCGCCTTCTGCCTGGATCTCGCCACCCTTAGTGCCAGGCCGGCAACTGCGAGAGCAGTTGCTCGGCCTCCTTTCCCCTGCATCTTTGCTATGATTCTCCACCGCGTGTAAGCCAGTGTCTTATTACCCTTCTGCCAATCAGCCTTTGGGGAGGAGACCGGGGGCAGTAGGGTCATGCCATAGCATGCACAGCGACAGCCAGGATCCCCAGAGCAGCTAGCCTGAGACACTTAGAGTGATAGTCGCCGTCACTCAGCGCCCAGTCGGCAAGCTGGACGCTCATCTAGGCCGAGCAACTCAGGCGCTGACCCTGGGCATGGGCA